TATATAGATTACAAAGTAAAATTAATAAAAATAAAAATCTACAACATGTTGAAATACGATAATTATTGTGTAATATTAAAAAAGAGTTTGTATAAAATCTATATGTTACTAATTAAATTAATGTAATAAAAGATTAAAATAAAGTATCAATAAGATTTAAAATATAAATTAATATAAAATTACTATAAATTAATTGATTAGATTAAATGATGATGAAATTTAAACTAAAATGATACGATAATAATATAAATTATTGCTATTGGATAAAAATATAAGAAATATAAAAAAGTAAAAATAAAAGAAAAAGTTTAAATGAATATTATTGTGCTAAAATATAACATAATAAAGTTAATGAAAGGTAAAATGATAACAATATAAAAAATACATATCAATCAATTAATATTAATTAATTTGATTAATATTAATTATAAATTACATGTAATATTAAATTGAGCAAACAAATACTTTTCATATATCAATAATATTAATCAAATTTAATTTTAGATTTTGATAATTAAATAATAAATAACTTGTATAAATATAATATATATTTTAGCTTAAAAAGTAATTGATTAATAAATAATTAATTATTAAGTTAACAAGATAGTTAATTAATTATCTAATAATTATTTTTTTACTTTCTTATTTGTATTCTTTTATTAAAAGATCTCTTGTCTATAATAAGCAATATTTTCTATTTGATATAATTACTACTTTATAAAGTTAATTATTATTATTTAGAAACTTAATAAAAAGAAAAATTAATTATTTTTAAAAGTTAATTGATAAAAAAAAATTATTTAATAATAAATTATTTGAATTAAAGAAGATTTCTGAGCTTATTCTAGTTGCTCAATAATATAAATATTTGTTATAAAATCTTTAATAAATTAGTTTTTTCATCTCTAAAAATATTAAAATATATAAAATCTCTATTTAAAATATAATAACTCTTCTATTTGATTAAAAACATGTGAAGAACAAGTGATTTATATTTAAAAAATTATAAAAGCTCACTAAAATAATAATAATATATTAAAAAAATTTGTTTAATCTTAGCTTTAATTATATAGTAGCAATCAGAAATAATGTAATAATATTAAAATTTATTAATTAAACATAGTAAAATATAGATTTTTCTCTTTATATAAAAATTTTCAATTTTACTAATAAGTATTTTTTATTTTTACATTAAAATGAAGATAATATTACATAGTTTAACATATTTTTTTTTAGATTTTTTAGATTTAATCTGATAAAACTGTTCTAATTGCATATAAAGTCAATTATTTTTTTATAATTAAAACATATAAAAAAATAATTAACTTTATATGCAATTAGAACAACTTGATCAGATTAAATCTAAAAAATCTGAAAAAAATATATGTTAAAATATGTGATATTATCTTTATTTTAATGTAAAAATAAAAATTATTTATTAGTAAAATTGAAAACTTTTATATAAAGAGAAAAACTCATATTTTACTATGTTTAATTAATAAATTTTGACGTTGATGCAAAACATATGGTCGCCACTGTATTATAATAGTATTTTATTAGATATACATATATGGTACACGTTGTACTCTCTACTATTTTATTTATCACAACTCCAACATAAATTTCTAATTTCTCCAATATATAGATCTACAATAAAGATGGAATCGCAACTATGTGACACTTATTTATCATCATTAAGTAAGTAATGTATAAACGACGTTTATTATATCACAAGATAACAACGTTATCTAATTCAATATTTATAAAATTTAATTTATATATTTTATGAGAAGAATAAAAATTAATAAAACTCTATATTAATTGATTTAATTCTAAAATATATAAAAATACTAAAAATACAAATAAAAAATATTAAAAATAAATAAAAAAATAGTCTATCTACTCTATTATCTTTTACTTTATCTATTTCTAATTTATTATTTTCTATTATTTTTTTTAATTCTATTTCATCTTCTAATAAATCTATTTCATCTTTTTCGAGTTCTATTCTATTTTTTAATATATTTTCAACAAATTTTAATAAATCTATAATAATATCATCTTTATCGGTTAATAATATATTATATATAGATTCTTCAGCTGCTTCTATTGTTCTATATGTAAAATCTTCTTTATTTGGAATCACAAGTATTCCAATTGTGTTTCTAGATTTTCGTGTTAGAACCCCATCTAATTCTCGAACAGTATCAGGACCTATTTTTCTATATGTATAATATTTACATTGTCCGACAAAAGGAATACTTGTGATTGATCCTTTTAAATCCACACCACGATCACCTCAACCTCTAAAAAAATAAATTAATAAATATTTGTATCATCATTATCTGTGGTCTCTTCCCCAATGCCTCGAGAATCAGAGTTGCATAATCACTCTTAATCGTTATTGCTTACAATGCTTCGTTATAAACATAGCTCGGTGTATTTTATCTTATGTATAATCAAAGCCAACATTCGTATGTTACGGTAAAAACAATTTATTTTACAATACAATTTTTTTTCTTGATACAATTAGCTTTATATATTAAATTCATTACAAAGATCGATATTTTTCTGTGAAAACCAACCATAATAGCGATAGTTATTTAGTTATTCAATTATACGTAAATTTTTAATTTTTAAAATTTTTAACAAAAAAAAATGAAACCACTCACAGTAACAATTTTATCAATGACTTTATCACTTATACCTGCATGGCGTAGCATCGATATCTATTAAAGAATTCGCATTAATGTGATCCGTCTTAAAAAATTAATTAATTGATTAATGAAAGAGACTCAAGACCTCACTTATAGGATCACCATTATCATTAATAAACTGCAGTATGTTATTAGCTCTTTTTTTCCCAACCTCTTTAAGTTTTAAAATTAGATTTAAATCACCAGAATTCACAATATTCAAAATCATTGTCTCAGTTAGTTTTCTTTTTTTCATCGGTTACTATCTTAGCCAATTCTGTTAAATGGTGATCTTTAGCCGAAGGTTGACTCGAAGATGAAACGTATTTGCCAGTATCCATCTTATTTTTTATCAAAATAATTTGTTTCTCGAGTTTTTTATTACCAGGCAGGAATATATTGAAATGCTAATAGTAAAATAGGAATGGGTGAATCTATAGTTATTAATAGCAAGTATTGGTATCACATACCAATCTCGAAGTTGCGCAATGCCTTGTCCAGCTCATTCTTCTGTTCGTGCGCCTTAGCGAGTGCAAGAAACGCCCGTGATATTTTAGTTTCCATTTCGAGGTGAAGATATGAAAATTTTAAAAACAATGTTGAATGTAAACAAAACGTGGTGTTATCACATGATTATTTGTCACAAGAGTACGTACGTATGTTTATTGTTATGTAAAGCAAAAACGGCCTCCGAACTATCTCCGATCCGGAAATACTATTTTAACGCTAAATTATGATTTCAAAATTGGGTTTAGCGTGGAGACAAGGGTACATATAAAATTACCTCACCGACATTTTTTATTAGTGTATCAAGCTAGATTTGAGCATTAGCTTCCCGTATTTTTCACAATTTTGATTTTCTTGTTTTGCCGAGGCTGATCAAAAATTTGTGCACTCCTATTGGTTGACGATCAAGAGTACAGATCGTCAAGTGTCGGATATGCCCCGTTTTTGCCAACAGGTACATGTACGTATGTATAATACGTATTTATGGATGTTCAAGTAAACTCTTTAAAATTTAAATAAGGAAATACGTACGTAGTTCATGAGTGACCTGTCAGAAATCATTCAAAGAAAAAAAATTTATTAGTTTCAATGATTAGCGTTAGTAAGTAAATTTTATTACATCACGTAAAAAATTTTTGATTTAAATGAAATCTAGGCCAAATCTCAGGTATTAATATGAAATCTCAGGAGGATCCCTATAATAAAATGTATATTTGTCACTCCTCATATTATATAGTCAGAATTCCGAAACTACGTATTTGGAAACTAATGCTAATATAAGCTACTTTAGGATTTCTTTTTCAACCAATCAGGTATCGGTTCTTGAACATCTACTTTCATTGTCGTATATTTTCATTTTTACGACGAAAGGTATTCATCCTTCCCTTTACTTTTCGCATTTCACAATGAAAGGTGAATTCAGTATTGGCATTGGCATTATGTTTATGTAGAGTGATTTTCTCATTTTCATAAGCCAGGGAATATTACACCCTGGTTTGCATCCAGGGTGAGGACGGTCATCCCATTTTAGTTGGGTCATATATGTAGGCTGCGTTTTCGTCCCGTTGTCAAGTATTAGGGAATACCAACCCCTGCTATTGGTCAGATCGGGATTCGTGAATTTGTTTTGGATTTCTCCTTGCGATATTTTATTAAAATCTCGTTTAAGAGATGTTCAAGCGATAACTGAAAGTAATTCCTTGATGAATTACTGTGGAGTTGATGACGGAGTCGATGACACCATTATTGGTGGCTGCTGCTGCTGCTGTGGAGTCGATGATGACGATAACGACACCATAGTTGGTTGTGATGGGGGCGGTAATGATGTTGATAATGGCCGCCACATTGAGATTAGAGTTTGTTGTGGTGGTGGTGGCGATAATTGAGGAGGTTTAAATTTAAATTTTTTTCCTTGGGGACCCGTATGCACACTCCATTTCCCGACTATATTTAGAAATTGGATCGCTTTTGTGATGGAGGCGAAATGGAGAAACCCCCATCTAAAAAAATTAATACGTACGTAATACAACAGAATAGAGAAAAACTTCTCTTTACTTACTTCTCTTTTGGCGATGTTCGGCGTATATGAACGAGTCCACAATTATCGTTATAGTATTTAGTTCCTAACCAAGTGAATATTTCTTTGTTAGTAACACTAGATATTATTACTATGGTTCCTACCACTAAAAAAAACCGAATAACGCGCCGTATCATCTCCAGAACAAATACGAGTTTTCATACCTACATTTAATAAATATAATAAATCAAGTAAGGAAATCAACCCTTCGCAAGTAGAGAAATCAAGCCTTCGCAAGAAGGAAATCGAAAGCCTTCGCAAGAAGGAAATCAAAAGCCTTCGCAAGAAGGTTACGAACCCATTATTTTTTAATGTCGTTAACGTTAATATCGTAATCAAACGATACTTTATATTTTTCGTATCTTCCGAAGATGCTGGAAAAAAGGTCAAATCTAGTCATGATTTAGCAAATATTTTCTACTAGATTTGGCAACTACGTATTAATAGCAAGTATTGTCATACAATGGATGCATCTATGTACACCCATCCAGTGTTCTACACGGGACAAGTTGGGACACAAAAAATACAAATATTATAAAAACCTACGTATTTTGAGTAAATACGTACGTACGTAATTAAAAATGCTTAGAATTTCATTTTTTATTAGTACACCAAGATAGATTTAAGCATCACTTTTAAAAGATTGACGTATATACGTATATACCGATACAGATAGACGACCATATTATTTCATGGAAACAATCCGCCGCCGCGACATGTATACCAGCAGCATCTGTTTTCCGTTATTTTCATATTTTTGTTCGCGTTGATCAAAAATTTACGCATTCTTATTGGTTGCAGATCATAAAAATGAATCTAACCAAAATGGATTGGGGAGCACATATCGATACGTATGTACAATCTTGAGAAAATAATTAACAAAAAGATTTTATTTATAGAAATAAACTCATGTATACTTTCCTAATATTATAAAAAATATAATATTTAAAAGGTAATTAATAATAATTTTTTAAACAATTAAATTAAATATTAATTATATCATGTCTTCTATTTTTTCACCCTATAACGTGGAATTTATAGAATGTGTACCGTAAGTATAATCTTATTAAGTATTTGTTGAATTATTATATATCTGAAGTTACGCTGCCACTAGGAGAATTGAAAGCACAACGTGGCCATATTACATATAGTTTTATATGAACGTTCTTCTCTGAAAAGTTGCCATCTGCAAAGGAAAGGTTTTGGACCTATATGAATTATCTGGAACAGTGGTGAATAGGATACATGAATAAAATAATTGAAAACACATCGTGGTCATATAATTATTTTGATTATATGAACGTTCTTATTTTATTCTTGATAATGATGATATAAATATTTATCAATATATATTTTTTATAATTTAAGATGTAAACAAGGTGATGGTGGAATAGATTTGAGAGGAGAGGCTATAGAAATTCCATTTGTGGGACAATGTAAAAATCACCAAAGAAGAATTTATCCAGAATCGGTGCTTGCTTTTGAAGGTTTATTTATTATTTTAAATTTGGTTATTTTTATTAATTTATTAATTTATATTTTATCTTTATTTTTAGCGGTCTTAGCAAGGCAACCAAAAGGTACAATTGGAATTTTTATAACTTCTAGAATAGATGGTTTTTCAAGAGGAGCTATAGATATAGTTGATACATCAAAATATAATTTAATATTAACTAATAGACAAAATATTATAGAGGATTTAATTAGATATATAGAAAATAGATTAAATAGATCTTATAGATTTTATTTATTTTTCTTTTTTATAGGTTTTTTCCTTTCTTTTATTTTTTCTTATACATTTAAAATAATAAATTAATTGAATTTAATTATTAAATAATATTGGTTATAAATGATATTTTTATATAATTTATATTAATACCATCTATTTTATTAAAATTAACACGTGTTATAAATTCTTCTGCTTGTTTTTGTGAGTATTTATCACATTCATACAGTTTTTGGAACAAATAAGATCTTCTAGAACACTGGTTCTACGATAAAGTATAAAATGTTATCTAAATATCTAACGAATAAACGAAATTGAGGTGTTTCGAAATACCGTTGTTTTAAAAAGCGCAAATTGAATTGTCATGCAAATTGTATTGTCAAATCGTATTGTCCTTGAGGATGATATATCGAAATTCCTCGAGTCTTTTTGTATTCGTACTCAATTAGCATTTAAATTCCGTCGCTATTGTCGTATTATAACTGCATTATGTTCAAATAAGACGTGGCAAATGTATTATCATCTTTGCCATGTTTGTCCTATAAGTCTCCAGGTACTAAAGATAACACACCTATCCGTTATTGTAAAATGACTTTAACAACGAACAAATACGAAGAAATCCTTTTAGGTGAGCAATATTTTCGCAGAATTTTAACATAATCTATTACGTATTAAATCATTTTCGATAGATATAACTGTGCATATTATCGAACGAATTTGGCCGACAATCCAAAAACGTGCTCTTCGAGCTTTCATTCGGCAAATTCTTCAAGAGTCTAAATTTACTTTTTTCACGCTCGAATACGCACTTCAGTATATTCTTCGCATTGAAGAAAGAGTTCAATCTACTTGCAACGAAAACGAAAACGATCCAACAACGTATGCTTCTTGTATGTTTCTAGCAGCTTTAATAATTGCAAGAAAATATCATGAAGATTTGGTCTTTTCTAATAAAGCTTGGTCGAAAATTACTGGGCTAACTTTAGAAAAAATCAATCAAAACGAGCTTGTTCTTTTAAAATTGTTAGATTTTAATTGTTTTATTTGTAATGAAAGTTTCAAAAAATTTCATTTGATCTTGATTCAATCTCTCATTTGATTAAAATACATCATAATCGTGACCTATCCAAAAAAATTATTTTTTCTTGATACAATTACGTAGCTTAATATATTAAATTTATTACAAAGATCGATATTTTCCTGTGCAAACCAAACCACAATAGCGATAGTTATTTTATTATACGTAATTTTTTAACAAGAAAAAATGAAACCACTCACAGTAACAATTCTATCAATGATTTTATCACTTATACCTGCATAGCGTAGCATCGATATCTATTAAAGAATGTGGTTCGTTTTAAAAAATTGATTAATGAAAGAGACTCAAGACTAAGCTTTACCTTACTTATAGGAACACCATTAATAAACTGCAGTATGTTATTAGCTCTTTTTTCCCCAACCTCTTTAAGTTTTGAATAAATCTCGTTCTATGAAATGAATATTAATTTAATTTAATGAATATTAATTTAAATACTATTAAAAATATACTCAAAGGAAACACTAAAACAATATAAGCGGATAATAAATAAACTTTTTCCCCGTACCCGTCTTTGCAATATATCTTGTCTCTTCAGTAATCATTCTATGATAACAATACATATAATACGTATACGCATTTTAATTTATTTGTGGCCAATTAAAGAACAATGGCTTGCTCTCTCTTTATTCTGGGATTAATACAAACATCAATTGAAAATTGAAAATGCAACGACTTTTGAACTTAGCGATGTCTATTATCAAATACAATACGTATTATCTTTAAAGAATTTATTATGTTTAACGATCATTCCATTTCCTACCAATTCATTTTTTATACAACATGTCAATTCTCGAAGACATAAATGCCAATTCATGCAACTGGTTGTTATCATTAACAATCTTTTTTACGATCAGTTACGTCGCCAAATTCTATTTCCGATACTTTACACGAGAAAGTCCATTGCCTGGTCCAATACCAATGCCAATATTCGGTAACCTTCTTCAGATAAGAAGTGATCCCGTGAAATATGCAAAAAAAATACGGGGATATGTGGGAAATTTATATGGCTTCTGAAAGACATATTTATCTTGGGCGAGTTGATTTGATTGAAAAGATGATGAGTTCATCAACAAAAACTAATTTTTTCCAAAAGGTATAACATCTTATGATTTGGGCATTTTTCGCTTGAAATTAAAGAAATGTATTATGAATATTTAGGGTTCAAAAAATGAAGGACTGGTTGAATTAGGTCTTACGACGCAAGGAATCATTTGTAATGGGAATATAAAATCATGGCAGTTCAATCGTAAATTCCTCACGAGCTCAATAATATCACCAAATTACTTGAAAGATTTTGTGGAAGAAACAAAATTACGATTTAACGAAATGGAAAACTACTGGTCAAATCTTGGCACCGATTTTCAAATAGACTTCGCAAAATGGATGTATCGCCTTACCACCGACATCATATTAAAATCGACAACTGGAAAACCGTTTTACTCTCTCCTATCATACTACAACACACTCGCACTAACGAAAATAAAAGTTCCCGGATCGGTGACAATTGAATCCGAAGAATTCTTGAGCTTAATAACGAATTGGTTTACTATGCTTATGTATTTTCTTTTTTTCTCAAATTTTATTCGTCATTACCTTCCAGGATTTAGACGATTCAGCCAAGAACTTTTGGCAAAAAATGACCAATTGGATGAACAAGTATTAAAAATTATTGAAATGAGGAGAAAAGAGATTGAAAGTTCGCCTGAAACACCTTTACAAAATGATATTCTGGCGTCGTTATTGATTGCTAATACTTCTCGAGATGTAAATTTCACTTCTAATAATGAAGATTCGAAACCACTAACGAATAATGAAATTAGACAAATAATGTTGGATGTTTTTGTTGCTGGAATTGACACGGTACCTTGTTTTTTCTCTTATTATTTATAAACACTTAATATCAACATGTGCCTTATTTAATCTTCTTATAATTTAGACTTCAAATTCGTTTTGCTTCATAGTTTACTATATTTGTCAACATCCAAATGTAAAATCCCGTCTATTACAAGAAATCCATCGAATCCTTAATACAGATCCACACGCAATACAAAACGCAATAACCGACGAAACCCTCGACAAACTAATTTACACCGAAGCAATAATAAAAGAAGTAGCACGCCTCACACCAGTCGCACCTCTCCTATTCAAAGAATTAGAACGTGAAGATATAATTGGTGGCTTAAAATTCAAACCTGGGACAATGTTTTGCTCAAATCAACAAGGAATACACTTAAGCACGCGATACTGGAAAGATCCCGAAAAATTTATCCCGGAGCGATTTATAAAAGGTAGCGAATTCGAGGCAAAAAATCTCGAAAAGAATGCATATATTGCATTTGGTAGTGGTCTTCGTATATGTCCCGGAAGATATGTCGCTATGGCAGAATTGAAAGTTTTAATAGTGTTGCTGTTCGGCAGATATGATGTTCAATTGGTGGATCCAAAATTAAAGTATTCTTTTATGGTGCTTAATCAATGTCATGAATTAAAGGTTTTAATTCAGCAAAAAATTGATTAGTTTTTTTTATATATAAAAATGTAATAAATGTTAATAATTTATATATAGAAAAATAAAATATTTACGATTCTCTAACTTTATGATTATATCTTCTATAATGTTTTAGAATAACCATCTCTCCTTAAAGTTACAAAAATTCCAATTGTATTTTTTGACTCTAAAAAAATATAAATAAATTAAAATAATAAATAGTATAAAAATATTTAAAAAAACATAAATTTTTTACTACCCGGCCGACTTTTTTAATTTTCTTTTAAACGAATGTTTTCTTTTTTGATTTTGGAGTATTTTCGCATTAAAATTACATTATAAATTTGATAAATTTATTTGATTTTAATAGATTATATTTTTTTTTAAAACATCTTTTATTATGAATTTCATTATGAATTGACAATAAAAACATGCATAACCATTTTTTAAATTTGTATTTATATGATTTTTTTTAATAAATTTTATTAGAAATATCTATATTTACATAATAAAAAAGCGTGAAAAAATATGAAAACAAAAAAGAAAAATAAATAAAATCTATAAGATCTATTTACTCTATTTTCTATTTCTCTAATTAAATCTTCTATAATATTGTTTCTATTAGTTAAAATAATATTATATTTTGAATCTCTAGCTCTGTTCCGTGCACCCACAGACCAACCATCGATTCTTGTAACAATAATCCCAATTGTAGTTCGATAATACCCCTATAAATTAATGAAATTTAATATTAATATATATAAAAAAATAAAAAGTAATAAATTTATATAGTCTATGAACTGTATCAAGATAAACTCTACATGTCCAATTTTTACATTGAACTACAATTGGGGTCTCTATAATTTCTGTTTCTATATCTACACCACCATCACCTCGTTTACATCTTAAATTATAAAAAAATATATTAATAAATATTTGTATCATTGTTATCTCATTATTTATTACCTTTTATCTCATTACGTATGTCTCGTTTTTTCTCATGTAACGTTAACCCCTATCGCTATTGCTATTTTTAACGTTAAAAACCATTTGTAAAATTAACAATTACATGAGAAAAAACGAGACATAAAACCTTTCAATAATCAAATCACAAGGATAAAAACTTGAACGAGAAATTTATGATTTATTAAGAGGACAAATGCGTAAACGATCGAAATTGCATCAAAGAACTTCCAAAAAGAACATCTACAACATTAGTATATACTCACATTCAGAGACTCGGCACGAAACCGGTCGCGTAAGTTGTTACAAAATATGATGTCAAGTCGCTCTCACGCTGATAGTGTCATTTATTTTAAAAAATTATAATTCATATTTAGCAAATTGATGATGACGACGCTAAGCACACTCAGACCAGAAGCCAAGCCTGCGCCACTCCCAAGCCTGCCAAAGCCGAACCAAAATGAGTTCCAAGCGAAGAGTTAGAAGCCGCTGCTAAGCAGCCAGAATTGAAATTAGTGGGTAAATTAATCCTCTTGGCATCGAAATGGCGATTCATTTCTGTTCGGGAACAATGCCGCTTGCAAGGATTCCCCGATGATTATGAAATCCTCGGAGGAAGCATTAAATCGATGTATAAGCAAGGTAATTTTTCAATTGATCAAAGAAACATATATTTTCTTAGATTGACTTCACAATAACATTCTAATAGTGGGTAACGCTGTTCCGCCGCCGCTATTGGCGGCAGCTCTATTAAAAGAAGTAAAACATTTTAAAATTCATCAACCGTTACTGAAATCATGACTAACCAAATACTCTGTATCCACTTTTTGTTGAGTACTTGTTTCATTTTATTTCAATACTTGTAAGTTTCAACTCATGTTTATAGCAATTGAGCTTTTTAAAACAACGGTATTTCGAAACACCTCTATTTCGTTTATTCGTTAGTTTTACACTAATTCAGTGTTCTAACAAGATTCGATAACGGCCCGTGTTGTATTATAGCAGGTGTTGCCTCACGATCCGCCGTCATTTTACGATTTTTCATTCGCCAACTTTGAATATCTCACTATTCACCTTAATTATAGGACTATAGATCGCAAAGTCTGATCATCTATCCAGAAATATGGGCATTCAATGATGCCATACAGACCTGGTGAGAAGAAGGGCTCTTTTTATAATGTTTTCTAATATTTTTGTGATTGTTTTTGTGATTTTCCTGATTAATGACCATTATTCATTGGTTGCAGTTTTTCAATAATCAATTCAACCTTTCTTCAAGAAATGAATAATGATGATCCTGTTTCTTCTGGTGGTTCTATCCGTCGTTCAGTTAATCGTGGTCGAAGAGGTCCAGATCAGAATCCTCGTCGTCGCTTAGGTGAAGTCGACGACAATCGGGTTTGCATGTGTTGGATGGCTGAGCCGAATCTCAACGAAAAGCGAGATTCTACTTCAGATACAGCAACATAAAAATTATCAGGGCTATTTTTTTTAAATTTAATTAGTGTATTTCACTTTTACGTGTACGTACCTTGTTTTTAGTGTTCCCCTCGGTTAGGTAAATCTCAAGTAAGATTGCTAAATACGTAGAATTTTTATTCTTCCACTGCCACGCGCTCTTGATTATTATTACATGTATATATCTGGAAATGTTACATTTGTTGCGGCTTCGAATTCAACGCGTTCCTTATGGATTTCACTGGTGTTATTGTTATCTTTATTATTTTGTTCCTATTTGAATATATTTTGTACAAGAATTTTAATTAGCATATCACAAGAGTTTTTTTCAAAAAAAAACGATAAGCATTTGTTTTATCGTTTAAAGCACAGCCCTTAGAATCTTTTAGATGCCTATATAACGTGCAGATTCTATTGGTTTACAATAGGATCTACACGTCGGTACAACAAACCAAATTTCGAGATACATGTATATAGGCATTTCGGTATCGGTTGCGGCGAACCAATTAGAAATTCAGTATCACGTATTTTTTATCATATCGCTAACCTGTAACAGTACGTATTAAGCAGATCTCACTTGTTCAGGACAGGTTATGGGCGATTATAGGATATACAATAACGATGACAAGAAATGATAGATCACCAAAAAATTGCTTTTTTGGTGATTTTTATGCAACTTGATATTTTGATAATCAAATGATAACGATAAGAAAACGAGTCAAAAGAAATGCAACATGCATTTTGTGCAAGTCATTTGATCGCCACTGTATAAATCTTTGTTTTGGACATAAATCACTGCCATTATCACTATTCAACTCAATGATGGTTCATGATTGTAGTAAATGTGTTGATTGTCAACGCAAATACCTCAACTACTGCAAAGCGTGTCCAGTTCACAATATTCATGATTGTAGTAAGAACTGTTACGATTGTGAATGGTACAAGTACTGCGATGAGTGTTCAGTTCATAATATTCATGATTGTAGTAAATGTACCGAATGTCAAAAAAAAGTTTACTGCTGGGAATGTTTTCGATATCACAAACGAATTTATATTGAATGGTCTAGTGGAAATAAAGATATCGACAGTCTAATAAATGAATGCAAGGAAATTAAATATTTTGAATGGATCCCTTTTGATAGATTTACCAATGTTGAATATCTTGCAAAAGGTGGTTTTGGTTCAATTTATAAAGCATCCTGGTTGGACGGTTCACCGTATCAGTGG